AAAAACATAAAATGATTAATTTATACATGACAATGGACTACCTCCTCTTGCCTCCAGTCATTTTGATTAAATTTTTATTCTATGTTTATGTATTATTTATCTACACTATTTTATTGGGATGTTGACTGGGAAATAATCAACACCTTTGCAAGCCTAGATCATACCGCTTCTAACATTCAAGAAACTTGTCATTTCTCTGAAACAAGTATCTGTAAAAGTTTTTCAAGATTGGGCACTTTTGTAGTAAATGAGAGCTGTGGTTAAAATTTGAGTTTTAGAATGTATTTTGCTTTTACAGACATATTGGCTGTTTTTACTATTAAACATTATGGATCATACCAAATTACCGGGAATATTCAGCTATACCATGGCATATGAGAGAAGCTATTGAAATGAATGACATCATTTTGAAGAGCTTCTTTTGGTTGGTCAGTTCTAGGAAGGACTGATGCTACCGCAGTGCCCATCATGTCTTCCACTGTGTATACAGAGAAACAAGAGAAGTGATGCTATTACCTTTGAGGATATGTATAGCATTTGCTTTTTGAATTATGAAAAACGAGGTCTGTACTAACACATCTATTTGTTTGAGACTGTGTTTATATGCTGAAACTCTCTTCCCTATATTGCCAAAACATGTACTTTCTAGATATAGTACACACTCATAGTTAGGCAATTATATCTCCACATTGTCAAGTGCTGATTTGTGATACCTTCTGTATTCCAAGAGTATGCTCAAAGTCCTTACATTTTTTTCTATTTGTCAATTATTACTGAAGATATGTAAATCATTGTTCTAAATCAGATTCTTTTGAGTGAGTCTAAACATTCATTTTCAGTGTATTCTTCTTTATAAATCTTCTGTTTGATGTATAAAGAATTGCATCACCTCAAAGATGCACTCAACGGGAGAGTTTTGCTGAAGTTATCTAACTTACCGGTCCACGTGGCTACTCAAACAGCCGTTGCTGTTGAGCGTTGTGCGTGCTCGCAGGCACAGGCTCCTGACAAACGGGAGGGCACACAGAGGCTCACGATCCTGAACAGACAAGCCAGCAAGCAAAGTGTGCCATCCTAATGGCGTTCTCACACATCGTGACAAATGAGAGTGTGCTTTTGCACTTCGGGGAACAGGTGTGTGCTTTCCTTGAGAGTCTTCATGCAGATTAATTTCACACAAAGAGCTCCATAATGGAACCTGAAGTTATTAATTGCCAATTATAGTTAGTCTTCATTTTGCTCCAGCATGGGAATAAGAGAGATAGTACTGAGCATTCTGGCTTATCCAACTTTAAAAGTAGAAGAAATTTAATTTGTTTAAATCACATTTCTCCTAAGGATAGGTCAGATATAACCTTGCCAGTAAGATTTCATTTTTTTTTTTTTTGAAAAATGAATCTATGTAGTAGAGAATAGCTTGAGTCCAGAGAGGAATGAAAGGGACAAAAAAAAAAAAAAAACTTGTAGCATTCCAAAACCTGCATTAACTCCCTCCTATGAGCATATTTACCCACTAGGTGCTGTTTACAATATCATGTAGTTTTTGTCTTACCATATAAAATCAATCCATTTTATCACAAGGATTTTGTTTTATTAAACATCAAATTTTATGAATTTACAGCTCTTAATGTACAATAACCATGGTCATAATCACAGCAAAGTAATTCCAGAAGTGACATGGCTTATCATTTCAGTGTGCAGCTACCCAGAAAAACAGTCAGTGCAACTATATTCAGGTTCCCCTGGTGATATGTCTAATTTGCATAACAGATAGCAACATCTTACAGAAAGGCCTGCGCTGTCGTCATTTGTCTGTGGCTAGGGACCAACATGGCACTTATCACTCATCTAAAAGTTGGATATAATCTGTGAGTTTGATTCAATTTCCCATACATCATCAAAACTAGAGTTGCACAACAGCAACCATATTACTACCTTTATAAAATTGTTTAGCAATGTGGCAAAATACATGATACAAAGGGCATTTATACAAAGCAAAAAATGCAATCAACCACACTCTCAGAAACAACTACACGTGCTGTAAAATATCTGTGAACATGATGCTGCCAAGAACATACTCACTTGCGATGCCATTACATTCCTTATAAAGTGTCACGTGCTTTATAAACACATATTAAACACACAACTCCAAAAAACTTGCAGCTACTGAGTAGAACAGCACAACCAGGATTAAACTCTGATCCACGCACACAGCCACTCTACTACATATTTTCAAAACTAAATAATGAGATTGTAAATATTTAGTGTAAGGGGTAAAAATTTTATCTTAAGCTTTGGAAAAAACAAACATACACTATTTCCTCCCACCCTTCCTGCCTATCGCCATTACTGTTCTCCTTCCCCTTCTTTCTTTCCTACACAGTGCCACATTTTTTTGTGGGGGGGAGCAGATGAGATATACAGAGAGGATGAGAGACAAAGAGGAAGATCTTCCATCCAATGATTCACTCCCAGTGGTCACAACCGCCACAATTGAACTGCCAGAGCCAGGAGTTTCTTCTAGCTCTCCCACATGGTGCAGGGTACCAAGGTTTTGGGCCATCCTCAACTGCTTTCTCAGGCCACCAGCTAGGATTAGAACTGGAGCCCATATGGTATCCCAGCTCGTGCAAGGCAACAACTAGTCGTTAGGCTACTGTGGCGGGTCCAGTGCCACTGTTTTTATTCTAGCCTTGCAACTCACAAATTGATGAGCATATATTCTGTTAAAATTCAAATTCAATTAATATCTCAGAAATCTCTGATTAGAGTGAGGGCATGCCTCAGAGATGACTCTGTAGTTAAGAGAGTACCAAGTAAGACTCTTATTAGGATTTAAAAAAGAAGGAAACATTTTAAATTATAAGATAGAATTTGAATGCCATTATTTTTAGGGAATAAAGAGTTAAATCTAAATAAAGTCAGAATCCAAACCTGCATTTGTGTGGTCTTACCTTGCTATGCTTGTGCTCATCCTGGCCTCCTGGCCTCCGTGATTACAGAGGCTTGGGAGGCCTAATATGCCGCTTGAGGAACTTGCTTTCTGCTAACCTTACCTCCTGGAACTGGTCCCTAAAGCACCTTGGTCCCTGAGGCTAGAGGAACATCAAGGAAACCTCTAAGAATACATAGCATCCCATCAAGGTGAATGGAGCTTTTCCATATAGACTATAAATCCCTAACTAGGGAAAATACATTATTAGAATGTCTGAATCCCTGTGTAGTTACGCCACAGTAGGTAGGACAGAGCTGCAATCTAAATGATAACAAGGCAGTTGTTTCCCAGACTTCAGATTTATTTCATTTTCTGAAAGAGTGATGGACAAAGAGAGAAACATCCATTGGTTCTGTTGCAGTGAAAATGCAAATGAAGGAGGCATCTCAGTTCTTGTGCACGTGAACGGGTTTACAGGCTGACAAATCAGTGAACAGCAGGATATTTGTTGAAGTCAGAAGCCTCCTGCTGTCTTAGCAAGCATGTGGGATTCCAGGAGAGGACAGAGCAGAAATTCTCCTCAAAGTGGAATCTTTTAAGCACGATTTTGAAGGGAATAGAAGAGGAAGACGCAGAGAGAGAGAGAGAGAGCGAGGGAGAGAGATCAGCTAAAAGTCAATTCGAGGGTAGGAACAAAACTCATCAAAGAGCCTAAATCATAAGCTTATCTAACTTGTTCAAAACAAATCCATCAGAAGGGTGTGCCTGGTAACTTCATCTTTTTGATTCTTATCATAGGCTAAAATTTCAGAGGGTAAAATCACTAATTCTTTGCTGTTAGGAGGGGAAACCAGAGGAATCTAGAGGGACATTGGCAATTCTGATTGACCAAAGGCAGCTTGTGCAGAGAAATAAGCATTTTACACCCACTTAAAGAGACCCCCATACTTCCTTGCTATTCTCCTCGTAAAACTATCTTTTGGAAAAAAAACAACCATCTTGTACTTATAAAGTGAGTCTTCCCTTACTTTCCTTACTTGTGGGGACCCAATCCTATCCAATTCTCGGTTCATTTAGCTCGGTGCAATAATATTGTTTCCATAAATTTCTTGAAGTCATTTGCATTGAACAGGTTGAAAATTGCAATGCAACTTAGTAAGCTTAATTTCTAATTCCATTTCCAAAAACATTTTGAAGTACGACTGTGTGTGTACCTGTGATTGAAACTAATATTATTGAATCTCCTGGTATAGGTAGGCATTGGCTTTGCTGAAACTTATAGGAATATTAGAGGCAAGGCTATATTTTATCCTCAGGAGGATATCCCTAGCAAAGATAGGAGCAGCAGCTCTAGGCAGAAAAGGGAGGTGAGTATGTTTATTCTGCTGGTGAATTAATATATTTTATTTCTGGTTGGTCTGAAACTGTTGGATCCCTACCTTCCTTGTTGTTCAAAGATATTCCCACACATGCACAGTGTTTTGGTGCACACTTGCCCTGCTGCCGCCGAGAAGGAGCCTCGTCTCCTTCGTCCCACTCAGCCCTTTCTTGACTGCCACCAGCATAATAGGTCGCAAGCAACGAGGTCCTTAGTTACAGAGTCTCAGGTTTTCTTCATCTACATGTGTTTTGTTTTTTGACCAAGAGTCACTTTATTACCGTTCCTCAAAACTCAGAGCCTTCATGTCCAGGAATGTTGGCAGCAAGTATGCATACATGAAGCATGTTTCTCCTATTCATGTTTTTGAGGATCTTGTCACAAGAAAGCAATACAGACCATTCATAATTAGACCATAATAACTTTGAGGACTTTTATTTCCAGTGCACTACAAGACCACAAATGATTTCAGGATCCTGTGCAATTTTTGCAATTTTGAAATACTTTTTCTTTCATGAACTAAAATCAGATTGGTAAATCTTTAATCTACTGTACAAAAAAAAGAGCTGTGGATATATTCAAAAGTTTAAATGGAAGTTACATCACAGAGTGATATTTAAGAGTACTTAGAGGGATCCAATATATTCGGTTTTACCTCCTGCAGGTTGTACAACACAGACAAGCCACCTGAGCTGTCATTTCTCTCAAAAAAATAACATTAAAATCTGAGACAATTAGCTTATTCCCACCAAGCAGTATTATGAATATAATTTGGAATCCTGAATATGTTTCAAGGACTGAACCAGTACCAGTTGGGACTACATGGTTTTGTAACTCTAGCTGTAAAATAAATAGTTTGATATAGTGCTGAGTGTCAACCTGAAATGATGGGGGCCAAGACTTAGTTTTTCTTCCATTTTGCAGGCTTTAACACTTAATATAGAAGTAAGGGTAGAAGAAAGAGTGGATAGAAACAACTATGGTTTATTTTTTTAAGGAATTATTTATGTATTTGAAAGGCAGAATTACAGAGAAAAAGAGATAGAGGAAGAGATCTATCCACTGGTTCACTCCATAAATGCTGACAGTATCTGGGGCTATGCCAGGGCTGAGGCCAGGAGTCCAACATCTGGGGCTGTGCTAGTGCTGAGGCCAGGAGTCCAACATCTGGGGCTGTGCTAGTGCTGAGGCCAGGAAAACATTTGGGCCTGTGCTAAGACTGAGGCCAGGAGTCCAACATCTGGGGCTGTGCTAGTGCTGAGGCCAGGAGTCCAACATCTGGGGCTGTGCTAGTGCTGAGGCCAGGAAAACATTTGGGCCTGTGCTAAGACAGAGGCCAGGAATCCAACATCTGAGGTTGTGCCATGGCTGAGGCCAGGAAAACATATGGGGCTGTTTCAGGTTGAGGCCAGGAAAACATTTGGGGCTGTGCCAGGCTGAGGTGAGGAGTCCAGGGATTCTTCAGGTCTGCCACATGGATGGAAGTACCCAAGCAGTTGGGTCAGCCCTACTACGTTCTCACATGCATTATAAGGGAGTTAGATCACAAATGTCACAGCCAAGACTTGAAACAGTGCCCTTATGGGAAGGTGATGACTTACCTCTCTGTGCCACAGAGCTATCCACATCTAGGACAGATGTGTAATCGTTCAGTGGTATGATGCCTCATAGTTATTTTAATCTACTTTAATTATTGAATTACTAACATTGATTTATTTTTAATATTTTACTTCATCTTTATTTGAAAGGCAGATTTTAGAGAAAGAGGAGAAAGAGACTTAAAAAGAGAGGACTTCCATCTGTTGGTTCACTTCCCAAATGGCATCAATGGCCAGTCTGAAGCCAAGAGCTTCTAAGGGGTCTCCCACTAGGGTGCAGAAGCCCAAGAACTGGAGTCACGCCCCTCTGGTTCCCCAGGTCATAAGCATGGAGCTGGAGCAAAAGTGGAAGAGCCGAGACTGAAATCAACAACCATGTGGGATGCTGGCACTGCAGAGGATTAGCTGGATGTATCACCACACTAGCTCCAAGGATTTGTTTATTTGAAAAGCAAAGTGACAGAGAGAGAGAGAGATCTTCCATCTGCTGGTTCTCATCTCAAATGCCCACAATCCAGAGGTAGAATGGGCCAAAGCCAGCAGCCAGGAACTCCATCCAGATCTCCCATGCGGGTGGCAGCACTAAAGTTCAAAAAGCAACATTCCCTGCCTCCCAGGTTCATTAGCAGAAAACTGGATCAAGAGAGCTGAGCTGGAACCAATTTTGTGCCACTGAGAGTGAAGTGTCTCCTGCAAAACCCATAGCCTCTACTAAGCACCAGGTGGAGATCCTTTTGCTCTGTTTCCAATCCAATCCACTACTGAGCACTGGCAGAAGTAGCAGATGATGGTCTAAGTACTTGGGCCGAAGACCTGACTGTTCTCCTGGTTCCCCTGTTACCCAAGGTAACAATTTGGGGAACAAACAGATGAATGATCTGTCTATGTATATTTTGTGTCTTATTCCTTCATAAATCTGCCTTTCAAATAAATTAAATACAACTATTTGTAAAAACGGGGTGGTGTAGAGTAACTGAATCTTACGCCAAACATTCAAGCATGATGTACAGGTATCCCAAATGGTGGCTCTGATTATTTTGAGAATTCAAAATTGTTACTTCAAATAAATATTTTAAAAGCTATAATTTTTTAATAGATGCATGTTTTTAAAATATTTATCTATCTTTATTGGAAAGGCAGAATAAATTTACAGGGAAAAGGTAAAGATCTTCCAGTCACTGGTTCACTCCCCAAATGATTACAATGTTCATCACAAAGCCAAAACACGCCACTCCAAAGCTAAGAGCCAGGAGTTCCTTCCGGGTCTTTGATGTTACTGCGTGGTCCCAAGCTGCTGGACCATAAACAGGGAGCTGGATAGGAAGTGAGTGGCCAGGAAATCAACTGGTGCTGTTATTGGATTCCAGCACTTGCAAGGTGAGGATTTTAGGCACTGAGCCATCAATGCTGAGCCTCTACATATTATATTTGTAGAAGTGGAAGTATGGAACACAAGGAGAAACATCTGCGTGCTTGATTTCTCTAGGTGAGCAAGAGGTAATCCTAAACTGGTGTCCAAACTCAGTCTTTAAAATGTGCCTAATACAGCCAACTTGATGCTCTTCTCTCCCCAAGGAACTGGAAAAAAACACCAAAATGTAACTTCCTATTATCTGTTTCCATTTAACAAATATTCAAGCCTTTCGATACAGCAATCTGTTACATAGACAGTAGAAATATGTTATTAATTGTGAGTTCGCTGTCCTCCCTGGGTGAATAATGCAATAACAGAAGTGGACAAATGGAATTGAATACACACAATCGAGATAAGAACAGAGCAGGAGTAATAATGCATTTCACCATGCACAAATGGTTTGTTCAATGCTAGTCTGATCGTGGCCATGGTTCTGTGAGATAGACCACTTACATTTTCACTTTTACTGCTATTCCAGCTGCTACCTGCTGGCGTCTGTGCAGTGGTGTGAGGACACAAAGCTGTGAGGAGAGCAGCTCTCCTGCTGGCAAGGCCCTAGGAACTCCCTCCCACCCTACCCCTCCATGAGGCAAGACCCAGCAGGTGTCTCTCCAACCACCTAAGTTAACTCCACCTCCCCTTTGCATGGGCACCGCACCACCCAGCTGAGAATTCTGTAAACTATTTAGGCACTGTTTGCCTCTGTGGAGTTGGTTTTTGCTGTCAATGTGAGCTTGGAAGTTGATTGGCTGATTGGCAAAAGGGCCTTTTACAGTTCATGCTGTCATTGCTGCCCCTTTGGCCCTGATGTGTAGGTCCCTCCTGTGATGCATTTCCTCTCTTAACTGATTTAAGATTAGGTTGTAGAATAGGAATTGTAGTAGGAATGTGTTACTGATTGGGAATTTCCAGAGCACAGGGTCAGGATAGATAATGTCCTGCTCTTTGGTGAAACAAAAGGCAGAATTATCCTTGGAAATACCCACTTGACCATGATGTAAAAAGGCTGTGCCAGAGTTTGTGACAGCTTCTGTATAAATAAAGGGCACAGCGTTCTTGCATTGTTGATTATGATCCTGAAATTGTAGTGGTCTATTTCTTTTCTCTTTATGCCTACTCCACACACCGTTCTTGAGCTCAGAACTCGGCTGGAGCTGGCTTCCAGCAGCTACCACAACCTTAAATTTCTTTTTATTGTGGAGTTCTCCTCATATAGGTCCCATTCTCTTCTTTGCTTCCATTGTAGCTATGTCAGCACATGCCCACAATCCCAACAACTACTGACGCACAGGTTAGACTTCAGTTTGGAAACCAAACACAAATTTGAATTTTGGGCATCGGATGGCATCACATGTTTTGGGACACTACAGGCATGAGCATGCAGGTTCAGTGTGACACACAATAGTTTTGCTATTTTGGGATACTATTTTGGGTTTGAACATGGAAATTTCATTTTGTCTAGTTGTTCAGAGGTCTTACTGTTTCTGTGAGCTCCTCAATATTTAAATAAATGAACTTTCCGATAAGCACTTCAAATGAAATGTGGATTCTCTTATGGCAGTACAAACACTGACTCCCACATCTCAATCTGTAGATGTGAGTTTTATTCAAGACCATGATTTAGAAAATTACTGAAATGTGACTCAGCACATAATCCTTGTGACTCCAAAGCCCTCTTGTGATCTCCCCATTCTGTGTTCCCTTGAACCGTGGAGCTTGTTATTTTATCAAGCAATCAATGAGCGATCCTATAAATTATGGAGGAAATTACTACCTTTATACAAAGGGTAAAGCACATTCGCAGTAGACATACTCCATTCTTTCCAAGGGTTCAGTTAAATGCCATGGCAGACTTAAAATATTCACTTCTTTGTAAAAATCATCACACATGTGTAACCTTAAACTTGTACTGAACCTCTCCTTGAAGGCAAATCCTAAGGCCATTCAATAAGGATGCAGGCAGCCCTTCTTTGCTTTACTTCCTGGTTGACCTTGAGAAAAGTCACTGACTCTACAAATCCCAAGCTTCTTGGTTTGGTGATTAACTACATCTCCATTGCTCTCATAGTGGTTTTTAGATGGTATGTTATAAACATTGCACGCCTGAGGGTATTGTTAGGGACAAGTGTTCAAAACACTTTTGTTCAGTTAATGAAAGAATATAAAAATATCATAGCATACCCTGACATTTAATTCAACACTCAGTGAAGAAATTGGATTCAAATGGAGACAAATAAGCAGAGAACTCTTCACCCAGGTAAGTGTCTCTTGGTGAGCTATGCTTTCGGTGAAGGGGAAGCAATTCAAGAGCCATGCCCGGATGCAGTGTTGTTTTTCATACCTACACAACACACACAAACACACACACACATACACACACACAACTAATTTCTGAACAAAAACACAACACATTTTTGCAACCACACAATGCATTTCTACACACAACTGATAATACATTTGTACACTCACACATTTTTACACACAGTTCAAACCCAAAGAGAAAAAGTATTCCTGAACTCTTCGTTTCAAAATAAAAAGCAAATGTTTACATAGTCATATATCAAAATAAATGCCCTGTTTAAAAGCTATGATTTGTGCATCTATAAATGACTTTTTAAAAATATAAAGGGAACATATTTTTGTGTATTTCAGCAGTATAATTCTTTAAAAGACTAAAATGCATTTGTCCTTTTCTCCCTCCTTGAATCCTCTCATTTCTTTTTTTCTTACATTGCGTATAAACAAGGGTTGAAAACAATAATCAAGTAACAAGATTCCATGTCATTAATGCTGAGAAATTTCTTCCTTTGCTATCAAAATTCACCAATGAAAAGTCAAGGTACTTTGGGAATATTGCAATTATATTTTTGAACATAAATTTATACTATATCTTTCAAGCTTTGTATAAATAAACTTTCTTATTTTTAATTGATAACAGAAGCTCTGTACTAACCTGTCTGTACATACCCCCCTTTTAAAAAATATTAAAAAGTTTCCACAATGAAGCATTTACTTACATCTGAGAATAAAAAAAATAATTTAACATAAATTAGACCTGCATGAAGTTATCACCAAATTCAAATTAATTTCATCTATGTCTCTACTTAGGTTACGCTTTATAAAATTGGCTTTGTCTCTCAATGCTGAAACACTCCCTATGGATTCGCAAGTTGCTCAATTGCTGTGAGTGAAACAGCTCTACTGTATATTTATGATTTATGTCCTGACTGCTTCCAAACTAGACTGCAGGCAACTTGCCACAAAGACGCAAGTGTGAATGTAGCTTTAGAAGCAGACATAGATATCAGTGTACTTATAAAAATACCCACAGGAAAGTTAAAATAAAAATAAAAGGAAAAAGGAAATTTTATGAAGGACAACCAATTTAAGGTGTATTCAGGACTCCCCGACAGCCAAGATGAAAGGGAAGAGAACTGATTATATAGTGGGTCTCCCAGCTGTGTGCCATAGAGCATTCATCTCAGTCAGTTCAAACAGCCCACCCATCGCCGAGCGCATAGTGCTTCACGACGCTGGCAAATTTAAACTGTCAGTTTCGGCTTCCGCGTTCTCTGCAGAAGATGACAACGGCAAGTCTATGTGTCATACATCTCAGTGGAAATAAGGAAGAGGAACTTATGTTCCAAAAGTGATAATAATTTAACACAAACCAAGTCCCTTCTGCGTACTGAAAACCTGGAAGTTCCTTGGGAAATCAGTTTCTGCAAAGACTACTTTCCTCACTTGCGAAAGACTGGCTGGGTGCCAGCCTTGTGGCAGGGCAGATTAAGTCCCTGCTGCTATGCCAGCACATTTCAGAATGCCAGTTTTGATTTCTACAATTCCAATCCAGTTCTCCACTAACATGACTGAGAAAGGAAAGAATGGTGTCAAGTGCTTAGCTCCATACCTTTCCCATGGGAGACCAGGAGGGGTTCCTGCCTTTTGGCTTCATCTTTGCCCAGCCTTGTTTACGCTGACCATTTACAGAGGAAATCAAATCTCTCTCTTTCTCTCTTTCTCTGAATTTCAAGCAAAGAAAGGGGTAAATGCTTATACAATTAGAAGAGACCAGCTAATAAACAACAATAAAATTCAATGGATTCACACCGAATTCATTCACGGCAATGAACCAAACAGCATTTTGCCATCTTTAAAGTGTTATATAGATTTCAGCTGCTATTATTTTTAGGGGAATATTTATGAATGGACAATAGCAGAGTGGGGATTCCCGAAAATGTGCAACTTCTGTAAGCACAGTTATCAGAGTTGACTCTCATTCAGAGCAAAAGTGTGAATGGTCATCAGCACTCTTGAAAAAGAACCCAGTTCCAGAATTTCCTCATTGATACGGAAATCCAACAGACCTTTCAACTGTCCATTGCTGTAAAAAGTTTCAGGCCAGCAGAGGCTCAGCTTCTCCAGCGCAGCCTCAGAGACGTGAGCAATGTCAGCCAGGTAGAGAAGACAACGCAGAGCAGGTTAAGTCAGAGCCATGGCGCAACCCCTGCTACCACAACAGCTGTTTTTTGTTTGTTTGTTTACAAATAGATTTGTGATTTTTAAAGAAATTGCTGATGTCTTATGTGGTATTCATTATCCTAAATTCTGCAAAGAAAGAAAATTTGAAAGTCCACAATCTCACCCCAGAGTACAAAAGTTCTTTGTGGGGTTGGTACAATGGCTCAATTTGCTAATCTTCTGTTTGCAAGTTTCAACATTTCATATGGGCAACAATTCATGTCCAGGCTACTATCTGGGAAGCCATGCAGTTGGATCAGATGGCATGGGTGTGTGATGAGCACCGCTCCTCAGTTAGCAAGGC